CTTGTTACTTATATTTTATTAATTTTATAGAATTTGATTTATAGATTAATCCAATTGAAAGAGTGGATAGAACTAAGATATCAATTAACTTTTTCAATTATCAATGACATTATCAGAATACATAAGTATGATTAATAGGAACTTGTTTATATTTTGTTACTAATATGTTTTGTGTCAATCAATTAGATACTAAATAATATTGAGTTATCAAAAATTCAAGATTAAATTGAATTAGAAAAAATTTCTCAAGAAAACCATAAAAAACAATAAATACTACTTTAAGAAAATATAAGATAATATGTGAGAAGATAAATAATAAGCCTTTCTTTGTTAATAAAATTTTTATTTCTTGTTGCTTTCAGATTTACAAGATAACATTTCACTTGACAGTCCTTTTATTTTCTATAACTTTCTTGCCCTTAGTAGAGGAAGTATATACTTAAATCTATTCAGGCTATTAGAGATCCAAGTTTTTATTCAAAAGAGTTTATAAATAAATAAGAAAAAATAATAGAGATAAGTGAAGATAAGCTTCAAGTTGTTTTAATGAAATTATAAAGACTTTATTAATAAAGAAGTATAAAATTTCTTGCAATCATCTTTTTTATGTGTAATCAAAGAATTAGTTTTAAAAGAATTTTTTTTTATAATTATTATTAATACTAAATTAATTAATTATATTAAGAAATTATATATGTTTAATAAAAATTTAATAGATTACTATTATTAAATTTATAAAATTAAATATTAAAGAAAAAAAAAATCAAGAACAAGATAAAAAAATAGATATTATAAATATGTTTATAATTTGTTTTTTAATAAAATTCAATATATATATAAAAAATTATGAATTAAAAATAAATCAAAATATTTATAAATTAATAAAATTAAAAAATTTACAAAATTACTTTATTTACTTTATTCTATAATTGTCAATAAAATTAATAATATAAAGAAACTATAAGAAAAAAGAATAAAAAATAAAAATCCAATAGAAATTATATTAAATATAAAATAAAATAATTGAGATTTGATTATTATTTGAATTTAATAAAGTCATCTGTAATAATATTGGTAATTAAAAGAATATTTATTTAATTCAATAAATTAAAAAATTATTTTCAAAGTTACATTTATAATTATTCAAATAGAGATAAATTAATTAAAAAAATTAATTTTAATAATATATAGAATAAACATATACAATTTACAAAATATTTAATAAATTATATATATTTAATTTTATAAATGATTTTTTTTTTAAAAAAAATAAAACATATATAACTAACTTGGCAGAGAATAAAAAAAAAAAAAGTTTTTTTTGCAAAAAAATTTTTAAATATAAATTTAAATAAAATTTATAATTAAAATTTTGATTAATTGTTTTTTTTATTAAAACTTTCAAATAATATATACTGTATATTACCTTTAATAGTAATTATTCATCTAATTACATTATATCAAACAACTATTGTCCTTTGTATAGAAACATCCATGTTAACGTTTTATAATTTTACACCACATGCATTCAAAAGAGCATTTTTATTTTTTACTAATATCAATCATCAAAAGTATTGGAAATATGTGCATCTGGATCTACAAGTTCAACATCATCAATGAGCTCACCAACTCTCTTTAATCCACGTATAATTTTATCCCCTGCATCAAATATTTTCAAACGCTTTAGAGTGGCCCTCTTTTTTGAATACCCCGCAATTACCTCCAAATGTTCATTCTTCAAACATTCGCAAAGGGGTAATCCAAAATATTCTAACGGGGATCTACAGTTATCCAAGAATGCTCTCAATGATACCGGTTCGAAACTCCATTCAGCTGTAATATTAAGATATTTTAATTTCGATGGCAACAAACTTCCAATCTTTCCTAAGAATTCATCCGCACACAACCTCCATCCAGAAATAATCAGTTTCTCTAGTTGCACACATGTACTGAGCATTTTATAAAGCGGGGGAATTTCTTCCCGTTTGGTGAACATTACAGAAACGTTCTGCACACTTGCACTATTGTTCATGATAAATTTGATGACATCCTCCGGCTTAGCATCAGTACGGGCAAACACTATAGTCTTAATACGTGGTAATGCTGACTCCATCAGTGGTAACATTTTTCGAGTGGTAAGACTTACACAATCGTTAAGTATTAGAGTTTCCAAATTCTTGCATTTCACCAATGAGGAGAGTGACAGATCGTCCTCGAAAAAATCATTTATTATTAGTTCGACGTATGTCAAGGAATGGGACTGGGTGGTTAAAGCCAGGATTATGTCGGAAATGAAGCAATAACGCCCAACCAGAGTGAAGCGTTCCAGACCTTTTTGAGCTTCTATTAACATGGCTAGGTATCTAAATTACATGGATTAAAGAGAGTTGGTGAGCTCATTGATGA